CAGGAAACACCTGGAGGGGAAACATAAGGATCAGGTGTGAGTGGGCGGGGCTGGAGCACAGGCAGACAGGAGGAAGAAAAAAGACAGTAAACTAGAAAAAACATTAACACAGACACAAATCATAACAATAACGGACTCATTTAGTGAAACCAGTTGACATAATTTAGTTAAGCAAATTCAACACTTCATTTTTTAGAGTGCAACATCAACTCTTTTCATGATGAGTTCTAATCTTATTTAAATTTGTAACGTGTGGCAAGGTGTTAAATTGTAAGGTAAAGAAGTAAAGTATATATTTTTTAAGTTTTTAATGTTGCAAAATAAAAGTAAAAATTACAATAAAAATACTTGGCAAAATTACAAATCCTCAAAAAAATTAGGTAAGTACTACAACAAAGTAAATGTACTTACCGTATTTATTCATGTATAATACAATCTCGAGAATAATACGACCATCATTTTTTGAGCTTAAAAAGCATTAAAAATCTAATTATCAATACCCCCCACCACTTTATGGATGATTTTTAGGGTTAAATTTCTAGTGTTTTGTACATGAATAAATACAGTAGTTACTGTAAACCTCTGCTTTGTATAAGGTTTAAGACTAAATATGTATTTTACAATAGTTGTATTGTGATTTGTGTTTACCTATTGATAAGAAAGAAATTTGAAGACTTTATACCGTGAAGTAAAAGAAACAAGATATTTGTGTCTATGGACATATTAACTATAAACTAAACAATAYATGGCTTTTTATTACCCAAAGATTCCTTCAGGTTGTCCATGTTTCATCCGGCTCTTTGTCTAATACGACATTCCCTGCTTTTCTTCACCTTCTGTGATGAAGCAACAGAAGACATTAACGTCTCTTATTTGCAATTGAAACTAGCACAGACGATGTTAATGCATGAGATACATCATCTTCTGGGCAATGAAGGGCGAAATTTAAAGGCATCCGTTGCTGCCACATAATATATAATTAATAAAATTAAGTGATATTGGTTTTTTTCTGAGCCATTAGACAACAGTATTATGCAACCCAATATCCAAACAGTTCAGTTTTAGTTTGATTACAGGACATGTCTCCACAAACTGAGGCCTTTGTCCCTATATGCATTTGCAAASTGTAATCTGTCTTTTTGTTGACTTTGAAGTAATAGCTTCTTCCTCACTAAGAGGCCTTTCAGCCCATGTCTGCAAAATAAGTTATTACGACTGATAAACAGACAAGAGAGTGCACTCAGAAAAATAAAAGTCTTTCATCAACTTTGAATCTGTCTAATTTGATTAAAAAAGATGTCCAGACCAAAGGCAACTCCCAATAATGCTGTAGATTGTGGCCAGTTTTTCCAGATAATGTCTTTACTATTTTGAGATAATTTTTTTGTTAACTGTCAGCTAAATTCTCTTTTGCAATACAATGCCACAGCACCCCCCCTCCCACACACACACACACACACGCACGCACGCACACACACACACACACACACACACACAC